ATGAATGAAAAACACATAACAGTAAAATCGTTATGACAGTTGATGAATATGCTGCAATATCTTACTCAACAACACATAGAACCATGCTTAGAACCAAGATTAGCGAAAACTTAGCCAACCATAAAAACATGGAACTAACAATTAATATTAAAATTTTACTATTAAAAGTAAATATAAAAAAATATATATAAATGATTAAATGAACTTAAAACCTATTTTACTTTGACTGTAAGAAAATGGGGTGGGAAAATTTAGGGTATGACCCACAGTTAGGTGAGGGCTTAGTCTCATAAGATCAAGACGAAGAGTGTGGTAACTTATTTAAGTGAAAAGGAAACTCGTAGCTATCTATTCAAAGTAAACTCAGAAGGTATGAAAATAGTGAAATGGAGTTGGTACTTGCAAAGAGCTTCAAGCTTCTGTGAGTGTTGAAACACCTTCAGATGATGCCGATGAAGGTTTTTGGGGGGAGATTTTGAGTTTAAAAGTGCTTACAATGAAAATAGAACTTCTGGTTTTTTGAGAGTTTCAGGCTTGAGAGAGGCGTAGTTTTTATGGCTATTTAAGCTTGCAAAGGAAGGAAAAGCTTGCTCTATTTATAAGAAAAGGAATATGATCATGTGCGTGTAAAAATGAGATCCCTAATGTGTGAATCCATATAGAATTTTCTGGTTTGCAAAACCGTGTGAAGCAAGAGTGGAAAGAGTGACTCAAGCCTTAACTGAGTGGTTTTGCACTCATTGGGATGCGTTTAGCAACAAAAGAACAAGTTTGCACATGTGTGGTGGTCCCCAAAAGTTGAGTCTTAGGCTAAATGAAATCCACTTGTTTATTCCTTAATTTTCTTTTTTCCAAATGATCCTTTCATGGAGGAGAACATAATGCAAAAAGAACTACTTCAAAAGGATCCTTGATGTGAAAATGGCATGAGTTGAAAGTTGGGGTCGTGGCACTAAAAAACAGGTTTAACATTAGGTCAAATAGGTCATGACCTAGTTTTATGCACATGTGGCCTCCATCACTTGAGGGGCATAGAGTTTGAATTGATGTTTGACCTCCGAAGCAAAGTTGTAGAGGAAATAAAAAGGGACATTTGGCTCAAATAAGCCCCCAAAACTATTGATATTTGAGGAAGTAATGATATTTAGACCAAAAGCATGCCATACTTGGTTTTTTAGGTCAATCACCCTTGCACCAACTTGCAATTTTTTTACTTTTTCTTGTATTCCAAGGCACAATGATGATTATTTCAACTCCAAATGAAATATCCTTGATTTCCCTTGATTAATCCTTGATGAAAGCTTGAAAAATTAATGAAAAAGGCATGGGAATAAACACATGAATCTATCTTGAGTTAACTTGCAAACCAAGCATCAAACTTGAACTTATTTTGATCAATTGATGTTGAATGAAGATTCACATGAATTTCACCTAAAATTATAGGTCATGACTTGAATAATAAGCCTTGTTAACCACTTGTTGACCTTGACTTTGACTTAGGGGATCAAAACCCTAATTTAGAAACCCAACGTGATCTCTTGATGAAAAATCTCTACCTTGCAAAATAAGAAAAGGAAACAAAGCATATTTTTGTATTTTGAATAAGGTTAGTAAAGCACAAAAACAAGTAAATACAAATATACAAGAAAACAAAAAGGGTGTGTAATAATCTCCCACACAACAAACCCAAATACAAGAGTGTTAGGAGGTTATCATGCTTATGATTTTGATGAAATGTAATGATATGATAAGTGGGATCTCAGGGGTAAAATTTAGGGTATGATAGAAGTATGATGGGGAAGAAAATGGAAAGGGTAGTGTTGTTTGAAGGTTCATGGAGGGATGATGTAAAAGGTTATTTGATGGATTTTTCGTGACTTTTTATGTAGTTTTTTAAGCTTAATTTTTTCCCCTTTCAATCACCTATTCTTATAGAAACAATTTAGGGTTTTGAAATTGTAGAAGTGTGTGAAAAAATTGTGTGAGAGTTGGTTAGAATGAGTTAGAAAATTGTGAATAGAGTAGAGGGGTGAAATGGTTTATAATGCTTTGTCTCGTGAGAGAGAAGATTTTGTTATTCAGTGTGATATTTTGTGATGTATGTATGTATCATTTAATGTATGATGTAAAGTTCATTTTGTAGTAAGTTTATCTTTTGTTATTTATTTCATTTGATTGATGATTTATGATGTATTGAGAAATGATGCATATGGTTTAAAAATAAAAACTTTTTTTTTATAATTTTCTTTTAAATTTTATAAAATAAAAATGCATATGATGAAAAGATAATGTGATATTTGAAATAAAAAATTTAATAGTTCTAAAGGCAAAAAAACAAAGAGATTATTTTTTAAGCTAATGCAGAAAAATGTAAAATGTGATGAATAATGAGTTATGCTAAGTTGACACAAAAAAATGCCAATATGCAAGCATGATAAGATGAAATGGAAATTCCCAAACAAATTCAGAGTATAAAAATATGCCACAAAACAAATTAAAGATGTCCATTATGGGGGATCTCTGCTACTTCCTAGGGCTACAAAGCCATCAATCAAAGGAAAGGACATTCATAAATCAGGCCAAGTATTTTACGGAAATTATAAAGAGGTTCAACATGGATAAGTCAAAGACAATTGATACTCTAATGGCTACTTTATGAAATTTGGAAAAGGATGAATAAAAAAAGCTAATTGAAGAAAGCAAGTATTGAGGTATGATTAGTTCTCTCCTTTATCTCACTACATATATTCTTCATTTTATGATTTTTTGTTTGTCTGTATGCGCACTTTCAAGCATCCCCAAATGAATCACATCTCTCAATGGTAAACTGAATTATGTGATATATCATTGGCACACATTAGATGGGTTTATGGTACCCAAAAGGGACAAATTCTATCTTAGTTGGATTCTCTGGCTCTGATTTTGGGGTTCAAATTATATTTAACGAGTACTAGTGGTGCATGTCACTTACTCGGTAACTCTCTTGTCTTATGGCTTATCAAGAAACAAGCAAGTATAATGCTATCCATAGCTAAGGTAGAATATGTTGCCGCATGTAGCTGTTGTGCACAAATTAGCTGGACTAAACACCAGCTAAGTAATTACGAAGTTAATCTTGGTATTGTTCTAATCAAATGTTACAACCTTGGCACCATATGCCTCATGGAAAATTTGGTACTTCCCTCTTTGATGAAATACGTTGAGCTTAGGTTGCGTTTCATTTGAGATCATATTGAAAATGGAGACTACGTGATTGGGCATGTGTCTTCATATAATCAACTCAAAGATAATTTAACCAGATCACTACCTAAAGAAAATTTCTTTTTCATAAAAACTGATTAAGGGATATTGAATTAATCATACATGAATTTATACTTACTAATTATATATTCTCCTTCTTCCATTTCTCTATGTGGATTACATGATCTATGTACTAGCTTATGCTTACTTTTTCCGCCTTTTTTTGACTCCAAAGGGGTAGAAGTATACTCTCAATGGGAGTTCAGTATACTCTATATATTTGTAAGGGGAGTTTAGATACTTCAATCGATCATATAAGTTTTTTTGTTTTGTCAACCTCCCAGAGAGATGCATTGTCATCTTTAAATATGTGATAAGGGAGGTCTATGTGCTTGTAGATAATGCACTTGATGATGCCTTGTTCCTTTGAGTGATAATAATTATTTTGATGATGACTCCAATGTTTGGTGGAATAATAAGGTTTGATAATGCACTTGAACAAGTTGATCTCTAGTGATATCTTTTCAATTGTCTCTAATGATTTTGCTCATCCTGAAGTTTTCTAAAGCCTCATCAGGGGTAAGGTTCATGGTTCCACTAAAATTCTAAAGTCAAAGATAATGTAACAAGGAACTTTGAGCTTTAGAGTTATGAAAGAGAGGAAGTGTGAAAGCTTGCCAGGTCAATCGCACGTTTAGCATAACCTCTAAGTGACTAAAGTATTTTAAAATGGTTAAGTAACTCATAAGTTACTAATGGAACTCCCACACACTCACAAAATGTTTTTGAGGACCCTCTATTATTTGAAAACCTATTTTTTTTGGAATATAGTTAGTTAATTACAAAATCAAATAATCACTTCTAAGTGAAACGTACACATATATATGTCAATTGCAACTCATCATAATCGATTATTAAGGTTGATATTTGATTAGTAATTACTCATTTTGAAAACTTTCCATTTTATACAATATAATCAATTATACCTATGACATAATCGTTTAAGAGCACAAGAAAGCCCATGGATCGAATTCCAATTTTAGCTACATTATCTCCTATTGTCATACCCCAATTTCGCCCCAGGGTCATTCATTCATCACATTTGCATCATTAGTCGGTCATTCATGCATTTAGGTAGACAAAAAGTCAATTTAAGACAACATTTGCATCATTTAAAGTTAAAAATACCTTAGGTACCGCTTCATGTATTTTTAGCTCTTTGCACCGCTTCATGCATTGTACCAAGTTAATCATATTTCAATAATATTGATATTTATGGTCTATAGGCAGACTGTTAAAAGCGTTTCGGCATTGAATTGAAAATTAGCAGGTAAAATATTTCGATTTTCACCTTTATTCGACTGTTTTATGAATCTTCGTTGTGCGTAGATCATGTCAGCATATTCGTTTTATTTTTCTGATGTATTTTGCAGTCTATTTTTTAATTGTCAGTATTTGTTCAGTCGAATATTCCTATTCTCATTTTTATTTCTATTTTCATCATTTGCTATTTTTTTTATTAATCTTTATGACCTGTAATTTATTTTAATGTATTCATTTTTTTCTGGTTAATTAAATATCCATTTTTTATTATTTTAAGTGTCATTTTTTTATTAAAAAAAATTAAAACAAAAATATTTTTAGATTCGTTATTTTTTAGTCTATTGATTTTATCCCAAAAAAAAAAAAATTTTGACCATTACAATAAAATGCAAAACCTAATTGTGTGGATATAAGTAATTGGAGATTAGAAGTTGTGAGAGAGGGAGGCACCAGATTGGCTAAGAAACAAAAACAAAATCCAGAGTGAGAGGATTTTCGTTCACAACTCACTCCCTTTGCTTCCTCACTTTCGAATTCAACGCGAACCACCATCCAATCTCCTTCCTCTCCTTCCGCTGCCACTATCCTCCCGTCCCAACGGAACCTCAACGTCAGTAGCGCACCATCACCACTGTGAACAGCAACACAGACCACTACTTCGCCATACTCTCTCATCCCCCACACAGTTCCTTCCGGCCAATACTCCCTTCCGTCACTTTTTGGGTAAACTTCACATTTCTTTTATTTTAATTTAATTACTGGTTGTTTGTGTTGATAGGTTTGATGTCATTAGTGTTAAATTGTGTTGCAATTTTGTTCTTGTTTTTATGGTAAATGAGTTTTGAAATTGTGGATAATATTGTTGAAGTTGGAGTTGATATTGTGGTTGAATTAAATGATGAGATGATGATGATTATTGTTTGTAATTGGAACTTTGATATTGAAATTGAAACTTTGATGATACGATGGTGAATATGTTGTTGTTTAAATTGAGGTTGGAAGTGTTATAGTTTGGATCAATTTGAGTAATGAGATTTTGTTGTCAATATCATGTTATTTGAGTTTAATTTGATTGGAATTTTAATTGGTATTATGGTGTTGTTTGTGGAGTTTCAGTATAGACACCGCATTATTTGAATTAAACTTTATTGAAGTTTGATTGTGGTGTCGAATTATCCAACATGTTAAGATGGAATTTTGGAGTTTTATTGGATATGTGTTGTTGTTGGCCAGATTTTGTTTCGAATGATTTAGGTTTGGTTTGAACTTGGTTTCTCATGTTTTAAAGTTGAATTGAGTCATAACTTGAGTTGGTACTAGTTAAGCTTAATTTTAACGACATTATGATGCTAGTTGTATTGATTTTGAATGAGGAATTCAACCATGACATTACTTTGTTGTTTTCATTTGTGCTAAATATGTTTGAGATGAATTTTTCGAACCTCGTTTCATATGTTTAGTTGTTGTCCAGTTTTGTTTTGTATGATAAAAGCTTGTTTCAATCTTGTTTTATCATGTCTTGAATATATTGAGTGCCAATTTGAGTCCATACCATGTGTTGCTGGTGGTTTAAATGAATGAAATCATTATTTTGAAGGTATGAGAAGCCATTTTAGCATTTTTTGAGTTATGAACTCTAATTCTTTCTCTTCTTTTCTTGAAATTTACTCAATCTTTGTTTACTTAATACTTGTGATGATTAGATCTTTATATTTTCATGAGTTGAAGTTTTGTCCCTTAATTGAAATGTGTTTGAAGTTTGTTTTGAGAAACTTTCATGAGATTTATGGTTGCAATTAATCTCTTACCACTCACTTTTTGGTTCGCATTTGAATGTTAATTACTAATTTGATTCATGTCTTACTTCACTTCTTCATTCATACATGTATGTTGCTTTGGTTGAGAAAAATATTCAATTATATATGAAAAATTAAAAGCAAGCTTCATTTGGTTCATTTCAATTTCTCTTGTGTTGCTAACTTTGTTTATGGTTTGTGCAAGCTTTCAAGATGATTCATGTTTTCACTTCCTCTTAGTATCACTTTGTTGCTTTAAGTTAATTAATTAAATGTCGATTTAATTAGTTGATTTTATTATTAAAAATAAGTTAATTTGGCTAATTAATTTTTCTTAACCTAATTAATTAATTGAATTGACTCTTAATTAATTATACATTTACTTCATATTTTATTTATTCATTTAATTCATACTTTGGTTCTAACTCATTTGGATTTGAGTTTTTATTTCATATGAGACTTTGGATTATTTCTCTGTAATATTGATTTTGTCTGTCTGTGCGGCTTTTCATCGGATGCATGGATTCTTATTTGATATTTTGATGATCATGTGATACTTTGAGTTTTTATCTGATAGTTTGGGCTTATCTGATACTTTCTGCTTGTGATTTATTTTTACTTGATGCTTGATATACTTTTGATTTATTATTTGTTTGTGGCTTTAATCCAAATGATGGAAATTCTGTGTTGACTTTATTATGTCAAATGTTAGCTTCTTGCTTGGTCAGACTTTCCTTACCTTAACCTTTATTTTATGCTTTAGGATAGTCTCTTCATCTCCTCCCCTTTAATATTTAAAATTTTCTTTCTTTTTCATGTGTTACTTTGGTTTTGTTTGCTACCACCTGTCGCATCTTTGTTGATTGCTTGTGCTCACACATACTCTTAGGAGTTTGATTCCATCTTGTTCAAGATGTAAATTAAATAGACTTTAGGTTTTAAGTCAAGCATGATAACGTTAGGTAGAATTTCTCATATCCTAACTCTAGGATCATATTGCATGACAACATTAGAACTGAAGTTTTTCCCTTAGATTTTATTTTCCCTTTTACATTGCATTTAAAACTAAAACTTCTTTTTCTTAATCAAAATTCAAAACACTTAACGAATAAAGATGTGAATCGTATGCAGTTGATTCTTATGGAGAAGAGTGAGGCGGTACATTCCGAAACTTGTTTTTTCTTCCATTTTTGGACTTTATTATGATTCAATTCATAAATCTTTTCTCAAATAAGTGGAGAAGTAGTAAGTGTCCCTCTATTGGGATTCGTTTGCTATTATTCCAATAAAAACACTCAACTCATTCAAACCTTTTTGTGCTCTCGTGCACTTTTTCTCCTTTAAAATCTTTTTCAAATTAGACATGAGTAATTTATAATCGAGATGTCATTCCACTATTTCTATGGATGTAAAGATGTCGACTTTTCACTTTAGTACTAGAGGTGTATCCAAATCCTCCCTCATGTTGGTACATTGTCCTTCTTTCTCATACTTTGTGGGCGATTAGTCAAGTCTTCTCCTTAAAAATGATTTGTCTCTACATTTAAAATCAAACAACAAAAAAAAATATTTTCAAGAACTACGATATTTTGATTCCCTATTGCACAAAGGGGATTGAAGATGTGAAAAACACAAGAAGGGGGGTTAAATTGAAAACTTGAAATCAGAAGCGCAATGACACAATATTTTTATCCTGGTTCGTTTGATCTCAAACTACTCTAGTTCACCCGTCAAGGTGATTTCGCCTCTCTCCAACGAGGTCTTAATTCACTAATCACAAAAGGATTACAATCACTACTTTAACAAATGTTAAAGTCTTCTTGAGTACAACCATAATTCGGTTAATCTCAAGGAATACTGTTTCAAAACCATTATACAAGTATGTGTGTTGTTATTTTTCGTTACAAAAATTGTTATCACAACTGTGATAATTTACACAAAATTATAGTTTGAAAGATGATGAATATTGCCTGCAGCTTTTTGAATATGCGTCAGTGGTATATGCAAATCGTCAGCGATTTTGAACACTGACTTTGTTTATATAGGCAATAGATTTATGTTGATCATCAAGCGTGTTTAATGACATTAACTCACTTTCCATTTGGAGAAGATTCTGTCTGAAAGAAGCCGTTGCAATTGATGTTGTCTTGAATGATCAGTAATGCTTCAGAATCTTACATCCTTGTCTGCTGCTGACGCTTCAGAATATTGATGACTTGGATTATTATGTTCTTGTTCAGAATCAGAGTTTACTTTGCTTGAGCGTAGGTTCTGGTCATCAAACTTCAGCGCATGTTCTGATTGCTTCAGCGTGTAGCTCTTATGGCTTAACTTCTGATGCTGCTTTGGTCAGAACTTCTGCATACATAAAAACATAATTTTTAGGGTGCATATTTGTTCTTTGTATTTGTTATCATCAAAACTCTAACTAAGGGTTGTAGAATCAAATTATGTTCTAACAATCTCCCCCTTTTTGATGATGACAAAAATTAGAATTTTCAATTAAAAATAAAGAACAAAAGGGTTAAGTGAAACTCCCCCTGAGTTGATTACTTCCCTTAAGTTCCTTCTCATCAGAGTTTTAGCTGCATCTCCTATCAGAAGTTATACCTGTTCAAACTTTTCAGAAGGTAGAGGTTAAGTAATTTAGAATGTTTGAGACTTTTGTCTCTATGAAACCATTATTGAAAATATCTTACTTTCTCCCCCTTTTTGTCAGTTATTAAAAAAACAATATAATCAGAACCAAAATAGTTGAATTATATTAAAAAACATGATGCAATGACAAGTTCCAGAACAAAAGAGGTAAAAAATTAAGAGTTACAAATAAATAATTTTCAAAAAGAAATCTAAGAAGGAGGGGGAAGACGTGTGAACAACGCTTTCAGCAAGCTCTTGATCTGAGTATTAGACTCTTCTTGCTTGCCCAATATGCCTCTGATTTCCTTTGTAGTGTCTTCCTGTTTACCCAGAATACTTTTAATCTCTTTGTTCGTGTCCTCCTGCTTATCCAACCTTGCATGGATTAAAGCATTTTCTTTCTTCACCTCTTCCAGAGTTTGCATAACTAAGGAAGGTGCTGGAGTTTCTTCAGGAGTTGGACGTTACTCAGAGCATTATGTAGCTTATTCAGAGTGAACCATATCTTCTGCTGTAATCATGTCTACTGGAGCAGTAGTCAGGGAGAGACTTTTTGATTTTGGTTCAGCTTCATCTAAGGGATGATGCTCTTTCTAGGGAGCATTATCCAGCGAGAGGATGTCTTTCTTGAACAGTTGGTTCATAACTTGGTCTTGAAAAGCCTTCAACTTATCACTAAAGTTCTGCTGAACATGTTCATAACTCTGTTCCTTCAGCTTCAGCGTTTCAGAACTAAGCCAGTTTCATAATCTTGTCCACATATAATCAGAAGCAACAAGATTATTCACCTCTTGACTAGCATGCTTCAAAGAATTTATCCATCCCCGCATTCTTGTTTCAAAAATCAAGAAACTTGTACCAACATCTGATGTGGTTTCAGTTGGTTTGGGTTTGGGAATGGCAGTTTTGAGAGATGTGGAGGTTAGTCTTTCCAGCAAGATTGGATCAATGATAAGTCTCAAGTTGTCAACTGAACGACTAGTAGGTGAAGGAGTGGGAGAGTCAGGTATGATGATTGGTCTAGTGGGGGTGTTTGGAGGTGTGGATTTCAGAGATGAAGGGATTTCTGGAATGTCGTGAATGGTGAGAGGCATGCGAACCGCAAGAGATTCTGTGATTCCAGGTATTGGGATTGTATCAGAATCTGAAGGAGATTCTTCAGATTGGTTTGTTGTAATATGTTGGGGTTCTGGTTCATGGATATCAGAAGATTGATTTTCAGAAGGTTGAGCTTCTGGTTGTGGTGAGTTGGAGTTCAAATCTTCTGGTTGTGGTATTTCTGGTTGAGGAATTTCTTGTTGAGGTGATTGTGGCTGTGA